CATAGTTTAAATGTTTATTTATTGTATTTGAACAAAAAGAAATAATTCAATAAAAATAAAAACAAACCAAAAAAAAGAAAAAAAAAACAAAACAGATTTGTGTTTTATCTTGGACTATTCCCTCTCCATATTATAGACCATTTATTATTTATTATATTGATTGAGTCTAAAAGCCTGCCTATATATAGGCTTTCTTTCGTATTTCTTAACGGTAAAAATATCTAATCGCAATTTTTTGTTTGTAATCCGTCAAATTTTGTAGACACCGATTAAAAGTCAAAGCTGAACCCGATCATATAATCGAATCTAATTCCAGCGGCAATTACAGATCGTAAAGCTCTCGAGGGCCTTTGATAACTCCAAATATGAACGGTCAATTTCAATTAGTAAATAATTATTTAAAGCCCCATTCAATAACAATCAATTGTAGTACGCTATACATATGTATATGGATGACAATATATATGTATATATACCATCTTGATTATATAGTAATCATCTATTTATATCGTGTTTATATATTAGTTGGATATGATTTGGATATTGTCTTATATATCGATAGATAAATATTTTTCTGTATAGATAGATACAATATGCAGTAGAATTCGGTTATAACTCCGGATATAGCGTCTGTACGGTTACAGCGATGGAAATTCTGGTCCTCAGACAAACTGTTATGAGGAAACTTATACGGTTATAGCACCTTCCGGGTATAACGACGGTCCCTTGAATGTCGTTATAACCAGATTCGACTGTATATTACTAAATTTAACTTCATTGACTTGCTTATAGTAATCCTCTTATTCCTGATCTTAGTTTCTATATTAATCAGTTGGATTTAGGTATTGCCTTATTTTAATAAATTTATTTAAATTTATTCTTCACAAAACTAGTTTAATGTTTTTTTGCTTAATTTTTTCAAGATAATCCCCATCAATCCATAGAGCGCAAATATTTTATTTAATGATCTTGTTCAGCTTTTCCTTCGATATGTTGTCTTCAGTGACTCAATAATCCATTACTCTAGAGTCGCGTCTTTATTTCATGGACTTCTTCGATTTCAGGTGATAGAAAATCTTTTCAGAACTAGAGAGTATTAAGGCGATATTACAGTAATTGGAACAATTCCATTTCTACATTCTCGACATTTTAAAACAAATTTTCAAATATAAATTTAGTCTGTTTTGAGCAATTTGATATACACTATATTCGAAATCAATTGGAGTTTGGAGTTTGGAGTTTTCTGATTAGAATAGAGAGCTCATAAATGGGTTAATAATATAACAAATTCATAATTTGTATATATTTGCAATAGTCTGCAATAATGCCGATCAATGAACTAGTTGGTTATAGCACGACGGTCGTAAAATTATTTGATTTATGATCAATAGCTAACGATTTACAATCAAACGGTATCAGATCGATAAGGATTTGGTATAAATACCAAGGCAGAGCCGGGCAGTGATCAAGTCAAAGCTGAAAATCAATATGAAGCTCATCATTTCGAGTGTTGTGTGCCTCTGCCTGTGCCTGGCCAGCGTTGGGCACGCCCAGCCCGCGTCGATGCCAGCGACACTGGACGCCCAGCTGCTGACCATCGTGGACGAGATGACGCAGATTGGCGATAATGCGGCCAAGGTTTTGATCCATCAGTACGAGGAGATTGTCGTCGAGCCGCACGAGCAGCTGGATCAGGCTGTCGAGCAGGTGGAGTCGCGTCGCGTCGAGAGTCCCGATTGTGTGGCCGAGCAGGATGCTCAGATTAGCAGCGTGCTGGATGCTGCGCACCAGGAGCTGCACGAGTGCGGCCTGAGCGCCGCCCACGAGTCCGCCGAGATTGTCAGCGATGTGAACGCGGCCACGCAGCAGCTGGTCTTCGGCGGCTACTCGCTGGGTCGCACCTACAACAAGTGCCAGAGCTATAAGAACGTGGTGCTGCGTCAGTCCTGCATGGCCAAGTTCTATGTGCAGGCCACCGTCTATCTGGTCAGCGCCCGCTCCTCCCTGAAGACCATCACGCAGAGCACCAACGAGCGCATCCCCGCCGTGCTCACCCACAGCAACTCCTGCACCCATGATGCCTCCGGCAAGGCTGTCGGAGCCCTGGAGGCGGTCGCTGGTGACATCGATGTCTGCATTGCCAGGGCTGGTCGTCGCTAATTCGATTGGTTCAATTATACAATAAAAACGGGTTTATTTTGAATGTGATTGGAGTTTTCATTGAGATGATGTTTAGAGTATCGATAACTATCGATTTGAATGGGAATAGAGTTATCGTTGATATGACGTTTGGATTTGTCGATAAATATTGATTTGAATGGAAATGGAGCTATCGTTGAGAAGATGGTTAGAGTATTCATAGTTATCGCTATGTATGAAGCTTATATTGAGAATATATGTAGAGTAATGCTAAATACTGATTTAGATATGAATGAAGTTAACGTTGGATTACAGATAAATATCGATTTAGGAGTGTGAATAGAGTCATCGTTGAGGGGATGTGTAGAGTAACCAAAGATACCGCTACATATCAATTTTGATATAAATGGAGTTCATATTGAGAATATATTTTGTATTGATATCGATATGAATTAAGTTAACGTTGAGATAATCGATAAATATTGATTGGACTGTGAATAGAACTAGCGCTGAAATAATGTTTGGTCTGTCGATAAATATTAATTTGAATGTGGAGTAGAATGCAGTTATCGTTAAGATGATGTGTAGAGTATTCATAGACATACATACATACATATGTATCCATTTGGATATGAATGGAGTTTATATTGAGAATGTGTTCAGAGTATTGATAAATATCGGTTTCGATATAAATGATGTTAACGCTGATACAATCTGAAGACAAACGATAAATATCGATATTAACAATTTGCATGGGAAAAGTGTTTTCGTTGAAGGGGTGTCGATTTTTAATGTTTTTTTTATTAGCTAAACACCAATGCTGAATCTGTTTAGATATGTTTCATAAAGCTATTGAAATAGGGCAAAGACGAGATAACAGAGTATGCAAAATTATCTTTGATTCAGTTAGTGGCTCAAAAATTTGATCCCCAAATATTACACATACCAATCGGCATATTTAACACACAGCACCGCTATATAATATATAGCTTATTGTATAATACATTGTATAGCTGTATAATGGATAAGCTTGCATGGAAACGCCTAGCAGAGGAGTTCAACAAAACTAAGTAGCGGTGCCACTCTAGCTTACGCTTCAGTGGGCATGATTGTATATCAAAGAGTTAACGTAAAGCTGTTTTAGCCCAGATCTTTCTGCGCTGTATGAGTATGAGATCAAATATGTATATTTTATACATATATAAGCTTGAAAAGAGTTTCAATGCCAAACGATTGTACCTATAGAAAGTAGTTCAAAATAATTTTTGTAACATTTGGAAATCGACCGAAAAATGCCAAGTTGCAGTCAAGTAGAGGTCGTGTGAGTTCAGTGAGTGGAGTTCTTAAGAGTCTATGAATTTTTTCTCAATTGTATTTTCTTTTTAAATCAAAACAGATTTGTCATAATACTACAATAAATTTGCTTCCCTTAAGATACATATATCCCTAATCTAATTATTAATTTCGTTTCTTGTCAAGCGCCCCGAGTAGTAATCCTCGGCACTTGCACAGCGTCGGAGCAAAGTCCCTGAGCCATCAAGCAGATGTCAGATGCGTGGATGCGTGTAATCCTAATTCGCGAGAGCTGAGCGACTGACAGGGGCCATTTGGGGTATTTGGGGCATTTGTTGTGGGGCTTGTCGTGCTCTTAGATTTATTATTTATAATCGAATACAAGCGCCATTGAGAGACTGCTAAAGTTTTTAATCAAAATCCAAATGCATAATTAATTTGCTGAGCGGGCGGGCGGCTTTTGACTTTCAGTTTTTGACTCTCGCTTCTCGCTTCTCGCCTCTCGGCTTTTGGCTCTCAGTTTTCAGCCTTGGCATGCCGCGCTTTTAATTACGCACAACTTACTTAATTTCGTTAATTATTGGACTATGAATGGCAGTGGGTATCGAAAAGTCTCGTTTTACTTAAGTTTCTGCTTTTGGCCAGCGGTTTTAGCCAATTTTCTAGTTTGCATTGAACTTAAAATGCAACTGAAACTCCATATTAAGCCCAACTAAATGGCGAACTCGAACTAGAAAACTGAACAATCGACAGTGGTTTGAGGACGGTAGTATTCACGCTAGAGATACCCTGTGTTCCGATAACTGCAATCGATGAGTATCGATTATGCATATGCATGATATCTATATCGATGTATAGTTTATAGTAGGTATTTGGAGCTTGAAACTTTTATAGATACTATATACTGCTTTGTTCCTAGATCGATAATTATCGATTATCGAATAGAAATTCATAGCATATCGATTGCATCTCTTATCATTCTTGTTGTCTAGAACATAGTCTAAGGCCACTTCGAATATGCTCTGTAATCAACTTTGCACACTCTTATACAGCCCACCATTTTTGTCTATCTAATTACAGGGTATGCAGCTAGAATGTGGCCGCTGTTAGATACGCCTCAATTTTGYTATGGCTTCAAATCAAAATCAAAATCAAAATTAAAAATCCGGTGGCCGTCAGGCAACGTGTCACCGC